AAAAAAAAAAATTTGAACGCGTTGATTTCAGGCTGACGATGACACCTATGTAGTCGTCGAACATCTGAGGGAATATCTATCCCACCTCGATCCGAACAAACCATATTATCTCGGCTACAAATTAAGACCCTATTTGGTGAGAATTTCTGTTCTGTCTATTATTATCAGACCCTCTCTAACAATATCGCTTTCCCAGGAAAACGGCTACAACGCTGGTGGAGCCGGTTATGTCTTATCGAGGGCAGCCGTGAAGATATTCAACGAAATGCTCTATTCCAACGAAACATTGTGCCCAGACGACATCTATGAGGACGTTGGTATTGGAAGGTAAGCGCTTCAATAGATATTGTTAGATTGAAGAATATAATTGGCCCCCACTTACCCAGAACGCAGTCTGGCCTGCGCCAAGGTTTGAACCCCAGACTGCGCACTGGGTAAGTAAGGTTACGTCAAACCTCGTACACTCCATATCCTGGAAATGGATAGGACCTGACCGCATACTTCACTTGAAGATCTGGCCTAGGATGCGCTTTTCGTGCCGTATTGCCTTACTGTAGAACTATTGCCCTGTCTTGCTCTGTACAGCGGCATGATTCTAATGTCTCAAAGCAAACATACCTCAAAAGGCCGCAGCGTTATGAAGCACGCTACGCCCTCCCAAGCTAAGAGATACAGAGTGTACGACTGATGTCGTCGCAACCAGTCCCGAAAGGGGTAGAATGATCCCGTGCTTCCTTACCAGTGGTTGCTTCTCCTGGAAATCATCAATTAACCGATTACGCATTAAGAGAAAGTCACTGAGATGAATCATTCGCCCCTTGTTGCCGGCCGTTGCCGAATGCTGGTGATGTATATCCCTAGATTGTCCCCTACGCTAGTTCACATGGAAATCGTTTAGTTCTCTTGAACAGGTTTGCAAACGATTCCTTCGTGGGAACTATTGTATCGGCAGAAGGCACATGTGCGCCCTAATCATGCAATGCGCCGTATATGTGTTTTACTACTTCAGTGGCGATTGGCAAGATATCTTCTACTAAGCAAGCAAATAAAGCCATGTAATTTCTGCCATGGTCCTTTCACGGTGTATTTTTTTATAGTTTTTTATGTGCACACCTCGAGTGTATGGAAATAAATAAATAAATATTTTCCCAGTCACAATGACAATCCGGGAGCCCGTGTGATGGTGCACTACTTTGTTATCACAAGGGTGCTGATTATCGTCAAAAGTCAGACCACGGACGGGACGCGAACCGCAACTTCCGCTTTCCGTGTGGTTGCGTTATCCATTACTCCACCGGGGAAGTCTTACCTTCTCACCGGGGAAATCCGCCAACTTACCATGGAACTTTGAATGGAGACCTGGGTAGATCGATAGAGTCTATAAGGTTATTTACAAATATAGATAGCAAAACTGCAACCTGCATTTCACAAGCAACTTATGAGCAGGTAAAGTTTGTAATGGTGCAGTAGGGTGGAGGCTTGGTGGTGAGCTGTGAAGCATAAGCGAGGAATCGAGTCGTGGTGGTTCAGTGGTAAGGTTCGACGTTCGACGACTCGATTCGACGTATACGATTCCTCGCTTATGCTTCACAGCTCACCCACCAAGCCTCCCACTGCACCAATTACGCTTTACCTGCTATAGGTTGCTTGTGAAATGCAGGTTGCAGTTTTGCTACCCATATTTGTAAATAACCTTCATAGACTCTGTCGATCTACCCAGGTCTCCATTCAAAGTTCCATGGTAAGTTGGCGGACTTCCGTGGTCAGCTTAATGGCTATTTGTGTCATTGCCTTCCAGCAGTCCCGTCCTTGCGCTTCATCGCATTGAAAGGAGAACCTACCAATGAACAAGGCATAATTGTCCTGCTCGGTAATCACGTAATATGGTATACTCCCTGGTTTGCCTAATTGTGGTAGTGATCAGACTTAAGACGAACATGTTGGGGGTTCCGCTGAGAAAACCTTCTTTGATGTGATTACACAGAACTGCTGTAATCAGAGTGCCAGGGCTCGTTCTGTATCGGATACTGTACACTTGGAACTCATGTCTTTTTCTCTTCTTTGTGTATTCCTGATGTCTTGTGATCTCTTGACAAGGTACTTGACCGCTCAGCTGTTGAGCAGTTTTGAAGTGTCCAAAACCGGCCTCATACCCAACAATTTCCTGAAAACAATTTTTTTTAGAAAAATTGCTGTTAATCACGAACCATCATGTTTTCCAGATGTTTGGCAAGTGTGGGAATTTTTCCTCATGACACTCGAAATAGTCAGGGACAGAAATCGCTTCAACATGCACACGCCTAGTGACGTCTTCCATGGCACGAAAAACCATCCAAAGTGGACATACTTTCAAAACGAAGCAGGTACCGTCTACCATGCTTATTTTCCATCTGCTTTGATTGTGCAATTCTTTACTGCAATACTTTACTTATTCCTACTTATGTATTACAGACTAGTTCAAATGTCCCGGAGGATGCTTTCTATAATTTAAACAGGGCAGAATCAGAATGGAAGTGGCTTTTCAAGAAAGCCAACTTATTCTAGAGAGAAGACAATAAGGAGGGTAGTTGTATAGCGAGAAATAGCGTCCCTTACGACGCACGCGGTCGTCGGGTGGTGACGGAGGGAGGGAGTCAAATCAGGTATCGTCTCCCATTGAGGCCAGCCAGCGTTTCGAGAGGTTCATTCGAAAGAAGGGTTTGATTAAGACTGAAAACTTTAGAGCGCGAAAATCTTTGAAATTGTCAAAGCTCCCGAAAATTTTACTAAAAAGTTGCCACAGAAGAGGATCTGCTTGCTGAAGTCCAGAGTCCTTAGCGTGGAAGGAGTGGAGGAGTTGAGTCGAAAACAGAAACTGAGCAGTGCCCCTCCTTACGCCCAGCATTGCCTTTCCTGGTCTCTCATTTTCTCACCTCTAGGTCTTAATTTGGATAGAAGGCATCTTATTTGTAAGCTTGGTAAACACAGAAGTCAAGCCGAGGGTAACTTCGAAGTAAACATGAAATCTCAGCATGCACTCAGTGGACGAGCTTTCGTGTGTTGAATATTACAAGCGTGATTTGGGGCATAGTTGAAGGAAAAGAAGTACAGCATAGTTCGCTATGATAATGGGGCGTGTCATGGCGGCTGGGTTTGGCGCACCGCCAGCCGGTTCTCCTAAGTTAATGACGCAGTTGAGCGACAGATGCTGGCAGAAAACTGATGCAAACATTGTTATGATACTGTCTCATCGCTTCCGAAAGGAAATAGAAGAAAATTAAGGACTGGCGCCGCGCCGAACCACCCCCCTCTTTTGACACGCCCCATCATCTGCAGCAACGTTAACGAGGCTGACGAGGTAGATAAATTAGATGATAAGCCCACCCTGAGCTCAACAATATCTGAATAGGGTCGAGCGGCACCATTTAAAGATATGGGAAACAAACTTTGTCAAAATGTATGCTGCACGCTATGCTTCCTTACAAGTTTCAATGCTACTTTTAACGTGAAGCCCCGCAATTTTTAAGCATGCACTCAGCGCAGGTCTCATAGGCAAAGTTCCGTCAGTCCCAGCTCTTTCCACTGGAGAACCTCCTGTGGGATGA